TTTCAGAACTGTTTATTTGTAAATTATGAGTTTGTTTATTATTCTCACTAACAGGTGAAAATAAATAAGTGAGATGGGAAAATCTTTGTTTTTTATTTAGTTGCATGATAATTCTGCACACTAATAGTTGCCTAATAATGGTGTACATGTAGATATTCTCTTAAGAAAGCCAAAACTTCACTTTTACTACTTAAATGTTCAGGTTTGAGGGTTTAACATTTTGGATTGACCAAGAGCACCGTAGTTGTGCAATAACAAAATTAATCCTCAAAAATACAACTTGTCTAATAATTGTGCACACAGTGTAAATGCCACATGGGCCTATGCCCTTGATACTTCATACTATTTTAGTAAGTTGTGTAATCCTGTTTTTTGGGGATTGTTGTGGTGATGGTGTCCTGTTTCTTAGCAGTGTTAGGAAAAATGGTGTTTATTTTCTGATGGCCATGTCAGATTTTGAAGATGTCTTTTGTAAGCTGCATTTTTCACTCACAGTATAGTTTGTCTCTTCAGCTTGGTTTTGCATATTTGAAGCTCTGTTTATAGTCCTCTGTAGGAGCATACCCCTGTTGTTATCATTCTGGGTGTGCATTTTAAGAGTTAATAGGTATACAGTTCCTTTCTTCTCCCTGATTCAGGCAAGGCTGATGGAAGGTCTTGGAGTGGTGGAATGCTGACTCTTCTGTAGTCTCCGTTATGGCTTTCAGATGTTTTTTTCATGATGTATGTGTGTTTCTTTGCCTTCATGCTGAGTACAAAGCAGCATGGTGCTTAGGGTCAGAGATCTGTGCAGATCACACTCTGTTGGACTCATCTTCTGCACACACAAACTGATCACACTGTCTTGTTTTTCTTGGAGGGCAGCACCCCTTTACTCTTTATGAGGTCTGATTGATGCAGTCTTCCTTAAAATGCTGATATAGGATCAGATTACCTCGTTCAACCATTAGGTACAAGAAAAATGCTTGAAGCAACCTTTGTAGTATGTCCTTTGTACAGTGTCATAAACTGTTTGGCCAAGGGGAGAGAGGAGAATGCCACACTGGCTGACCTGCAACATATCCCAGCTTGACAAAGTTTTCCTTGTAGAAGACTAACAATGACAGTCTGATTGGTTGCAGCCATGTCACTGTTTGAAATTCAAGCCTTTGAAGATTCTGACACTGACATGAAGTTGAAGTGACAGGTTATTGCTGCATTCAGCTTGCTGAGGGCCACTGCTCGTGGTTCCCAGCAGCTGCCTGCATCAAGACTGACATTTGTTGTTTGAAGCTTGTATCAATCAAATATGTGGCTTGGTCATAAGGGCATAGGACTGGCAAAGGTTTCTCCACTATGAGCAGAATACGAAAGCATTTGAAAAGCAAAATGTCTGAATATCATACACTACAGGTCTTTGCCAACAAATCACACAGTGCTGAGAACAGCTTTGGATTCTTTGTCTGTGGGGGAAAATGTCTGCGTAAATAGTGTCAGACTTTGTTGTGTCTCAGGGTGCTTTGAAGATGTGGTGATCTGCTCTGTTTTTAAGTGCAGCCAGGCAGATGTTGCTGTTTGCACTTTGTGCCATATGGTTATTTGTTTGATTAAGATGCTATCTGTGGAGGCTCAGTGTGCGTCAGGGAGGATTGATGCCTGTTTACTTTCACCCCCTTGACCTCAAACTTAATGAATCCCGTTTGTCTTGTGATAGAAGATGATGCGTGAACTGGAGTGTTTTGCACTAATCCTATGAATTTTTTTGTTGGCTGACATGCTTGTGTTGCTGGAGCAGGGCTTGGCTTATTAACTGAATTTTTACTCCACCTTGGATCAGTTTCAGTACACTAACCTAGGTTTGTCCTGCCAGATGATATTCATGCTCTGTTATATAAAAGCGGACTAACTGGAGGATTGCCAATATAATCAATGGCAGAAAACCTGTCAAAAGTGCATGCTGTTCCCTTCACTTGGCCTCTGAACAATAGCCGATAATGACGTTTTATGAGGCTTATAAGCACAAATAATAACCAGAACAAGTGTCTTCACTCCTGCTGATCAGATCTCTGCTCAGGCTGCCTGAAATTGCGTGAGGTCACCAAACTTCATGTACTAGCAGTAATCATAAGTGTAAGTTGCCCTGTTCTAACAGGTGCAGCAAAACTAAGAATGAGGAAAATGTCAGTCAAAAGCAGTTTGTACATGTCTGCCTACACAGAACTTATGAGAAGATGTCTAATCAGGCAGGCAAATTAAGTGAAAACAGCTGTGGGAGTGCCTCTGTGGATAAGAAGGGGTTTTAGTCAAAGCCAAGAAGTGTTGATTCATACTCAGGGTTTTCTAATTGCAACAGAAACAAGTGAAAATGAATAAAATGTGTGTGTGACTTAATCAGTTGACAGAATCTGTTTTTCCATCATTTAATAGTGTAACAGTGTTCCATGATCAGTTTTACTCCTGAGCAGGTTTTAAGTACAAGTCACCAAAAATTCTGCTGCACATGCTGCTCCTGTGCAGCATACATTCTCTGTTATATTCTTATATTTTTTTTTATTATATTGCTGCATTTGTTGCTGCTTAAAGTGCCTTAGATTTTGTTACTTATTTATCTACTTTATATTTCATTTGTATTTTGTGGCATTCATGTGGACGGCAAAGTAAGAATTTCATTGTACAGGGAAACATGTTTCCTAACTGTGCAGATGACAAAATAAACACTTTGAACCTTTGAACAAAAAGGTGGGATGCTGTGTAAAAATGTAACTAAAACAATGCAATGATCTACAAATCATTTAAAACCTATATTTAATTGAAAACAGTACAAAGACAACATATCAAATGTTGAAACAGAAACCTTGTTGTTTTTTGGAAAAACCTATGCCCATTGTAAATTTGAAAAAAAAAAAGGTGGGACAGGGACATGCTTATAATTGTGTTGCATCACCTCTTCTTTCAACAACACTCTTAAGTGTTTGGGAAGTGCAGAGAACAGCTGGTTTAGTTTTGAAATGAAATGTTTTCCTATTCTTGCTTGATATCATTTGTCTGCTGCTCAACGGTTTGGAGCCTCCTTCATTGTATTTTTCACTTTATAATGCAACAGATGTTTTCAGTGGTTTAGCACACAGACTTATTAAGCAGTCTTGCTGAAAAAAGCAGGGGCCTCCCTAAAAAAAAGATATTGATTTTTTGATTTGATTTTGTGCGTGTGTGTTTGTCTTTATATACTTGTGCGAACCAACCCCTGATGGAACACCTTTCTTGTGTGGACATTTCATTGGTGACTTTCACCAATGCGGTTTCTGTACTATGATGGACTCTAAATCCTGACTGAAAATCCTCAAACAAATCATTCTTGTGCAAGTGGTCACATAACTGCTTTGCTACAGCTTTTTCAAGGATTTTGGAAATAAATGGGAGATTGGATATTGGTCTATAATTAGCTAGGACACCTGGGTCAAGAGTAGGCTTTTTGAGTAGAGGTTTAATTACTGCAAGTTTAAAAGCCTGTGGAACATAACTTGTTAATAGAGAGAGGTTAATCAGATCTAGTATGGATGTGTTGATTAGGGCAAAGACGTCTTTGAGCAGCCTTTTCGGGATGGGGTCCAGGAGACATGTTGATGATTTAGATGAAGCAATTGTTGAGGTCAACTCAGAGAGATCTATTGGAGAGAAGCAGTCTAAGTATAAATGAGGTCTTACAGATGTTTCTAAAGCCATTGTAGTAGATGGCACATCTGCAAGAGCTGTGGGAGTGGTCCGAGCAATTTTTTTCTCTAATAGTTGTGATTTTATTTGTAAAGAAGCTCATGAAGTCATTGCTGCTGAGATCTAAGGGAATGTTAAGCTCAACAGCACTGTGGCTCTTTGTCAGCCTGGCTACAGTGCTGAAAAGAAACCTGGGGTTGTTCTTATTTTCCTCAATCAGTGATGAATAAAATGTGGTTCTGGCACTATGAAGGGCTTTCTTATATGTTATTAAACTATCTTTCCAGGCTATGAAAAACTCTTCTGACTTAGTGGAGCGCCACCTCCTTTCCATTTTTCGTGATGCCTGCTTTAGGGAGCGGAGCTGCGAGCTGTACCACGGGGCTAGCCTCCTCTGTTTCACTACCTTCTTTTTCAGAGGGGCAATGGTATCAAGTGTATTACGCAGGAAGGCTGCAGTACTATCAACAAGATTATCGATTTGTGTTGGAGTAAAGTTAAGGTGGCCTCCTTCCACTGTGTTGGCAAACGGCACTGAAGTAGATAAAGATGGAATTATTTCCTTAAACTTGGTAACAGCATTGCCAGATGGACATCTGCTGTAGTGGAATTGTTTCCCACATAGAGTATAATCCATTAATGGAAATTCAAAAGTTATTAGAAAATGGTCAGACAGAAGAGGGTTATGGGGAAAAACTATTAAGTGTTCAGTTTTGATGCCATATGTCAGAACCAGATCAAGAGTGTGATTAAAACAGTGAGTGGGTTTATTTAGTTTGAGAGAAGCCAACTGAGTCTAATAATGAACAGAATGCATTGTTGATGCTGTCATTGTCGGCATCTACATGAATATTAAAGTCGCCTACTATGATTATTTTATCTGTACTAAGCACTAAATCAGACAGAAAGTCTGAGAATTCACTTAAAAACTCTGAATAAGGAGCAGGTGGACGGTATACAATAACAAACAGAAAAGGCTTTTGAGTTTTCCTGTTTGGGTGTGAGAGACTCAGGGTGAGACTTTCAAATGAGTTATAACTATGTTTAGGTCTAGGGTTGATTAATAGGCTTGAGTCAAAGATCGCTGCCACACCTCCACCTCGGCCTGTGTTTCGAGGGATGTGACAGTTACTGTGACCAGGTGGAGTGGATTCATTTAGGCTGACATATTCTTCCTGCTGTAACCATGTTTCAGTAAGACACAATAAGTCAATGTGATGTTCACTTATCAAATCATTCACTAACAGAGATTTAGATGAGAGAGATCTGATATTTAATAGTCCACATTTGATTGTCCTATTACTTTCTACTATAAGAGGATCACAGATACTGGCTTTTAAACTGAGTGCTGATAAGAAGCCGGATGGTCCCTCTCGTCTTTAGCCTGGAGGACATGGTGTCCAAAGTGACTTCCAAAAAAAAGTCAAATTTTGACTCAGGACAGTGTTCTACTTCGCATCAGTCCATCTTAACCAAGCTTAAGTCCAAAGAAGGTGGCAGCGTGTTTGGAGTTGTATTGTATATGTTTTGTTTTTTTTTCCATTGCATGGTCTACTTTGAACTTGCATTTGTGGATGCAACGACAAACCATGTTCACTGACAGGTGTTTTCAGAGGTGGTCCTGAGCTCATGCAGTGATTTCCAGCACAGATCATGTCTGTTATTAATGCATTGTCTCCTGACGGCCTGAAGATTACAGAAATTGAATATTAGGTTTAGACCTTGTCCCTGTTTAGAGATTTCTCCAGATTTTCTGAATCTTTTAATGACAGGATGAACTGCAGATGACGAAAACCCCGCCTCTTTGCAAGTGTATGTTGAGATATGTTATTCTTAAATTATTGAACTATTTGCCACTGAGTGCCATTCACTGCATTCATACTTCCAAAATATTTAAAATATAATTTGAACATTTGTACTGTTACCAAATGAATATGGGGTAAAACTGAGTTTCGGTACATTTAATTTTGTTTATTTGCAATCTACACAGCATCCCAACTTTCTTGCAAACAGGGTTGTAACTGAACTGTTGTCCCATCTAGTTGGCTTTCATTATAAGCACACCAAAAAACTTATGCCCAAGTTGTAAAATGCAGCTCTGAAATACCATGCTGAGTATGTCTCGACTTTTGCAGGTGCTGATCGCATCAGACAACTATCAGAGAACACCACTTACTTCCGCAGGAAACTCCACGACATGGGCTTCATCATATACGGAAATGACCACTCGCCCGTTGTACCCATGATGCTCTATATGCCCGCCAAAATTGGGTGATTGATTCTCTTTCATCATAAATTATTTGGAATATACTCAGGGCTTTAAATATCAACGCTAATTATGATGGCTAATTGGAAGAATTTCCCCAATGATTTCACATATGGAAGAGACATAAAGGCTCATCGCTCTAATTTTAATCACTTTTATTACTTTTAGAAATAGAATCTTACTTGATGTGTGCAAAGCTGTTTATGATTTCAGCTTTCATACATCAAAGAAAACAGCATCTAAGACATGGTGATGGAGAGACTTGCCAAATGCTGCCCTGTGTCTAATGTTGCTGTTGCCTTACAGGGCCTTTGGTCGAGAGATGTTGAAGAGGAACATTGGCACAGTGGTTGTTGGTTTCCCAGCGACACCCATCATCGAGTCCAGAGCACGTTTCTGCCTTTCAGCTCTTCACACCAGAGAGATGCTTGACACAGTAAGTCATCCAAGACATCCTGATTGACAGGTGGCATGATCAGCAGCTCCTCTGAAATGCACTTTCCTTTTTTTGTTCTCATCATTGATTACGAGCTGAAGCCATTCTCGGATGCATTGGCATAAAAAACCCTTTACATTCTTAACTGACATGGAGAGTTTCCATGTAAAAGAAGAACAGATCAGCTTTTATATATGTGGAAACAAAATGGGCTCAAATTTATTTTAAAATGTTCACTACCCACCCCATCACCTTTTTGAGTGTTTATTTTTTAAGTGCAAAACCTGATAAAGTGTCTGTGCATCAGATGTCCTATACAGGAATGCTTAACTTGATTGTGAGCATAAGCTTGAAGTTGTTTCGATCTATGGGTGATCATGGATCCAAGCTCTCAGTAGGCTTTTCTCTGCTATATATCAAGTAGCTCTGCCTGCCCGAATGCTGACTGACAGCTTTGTGTGTGTTAGTTGAATAACAAAGGCTCCCAATGTCCTTTATTATGAAAGCACTTGTAAGGCCAACCTGTCTCTAAGCATTACCTCTTGGCTCAGGCAGAGACTTTTATTGGAACTGCTCTTTCTCTCCAAAGACACTTCATTCATCTTGTTGAGGACCATGTCAACACCATTTGTAATAGTCCATTTAAAGGGCATCAGCCTGCCTTTGTAGAGCCGCTTTTTCCGTCTTTGGAAAAGCAAGCCCTCGCCATTTCTAAAAACATGGAGTAAGAAAAAAAAAACAGCCAGGAGGAAGGTAAATTGTTTCCAGGTGCCTAGCAGTGTTACAATGCTGATACATTCTTTGTGGAAAGAGGTGGAGGAGTTTCTGTTGGGATTTGGTTTATGTAAGGAGTCTTCTTTTCACCTCTGCTTTAAATAACACTGATGTGTTAAATGGTTAAAGGTGTGATTATGGTTTATAAATTTTATCACCAACAAAAGCAATCCTGTTTCTTTTTATTTGTTTTGTCCTTTTTGTCACCACTTAATTCTCACCGACATAAATTATGTTTCTTTGGATTCTAAGTAAGAGCATCCTTCCTGTTTCTTTGCCAGGCGTTGCAGGCCATCAGTGAAGTGGGTGAACTGCTGCAGCTGAAGTACTCCAGACATCAGCAGCCTCATCCCTCACTGGAGTGGACATCTGAGGACAGCCAGCTGCAGGACTGAGCCACATCACCCCTACCCTGCCATATCTAGCCCTTTCCCCCAACTCACTGTCCCTCCTTTACCTTTTCTTGTCCATCCCTCTCTTTCTTTTAAGCTACTCTCCACCCTACTTTTCTACACATCAGACTCCTGTGGACTCAAAAGTACCAAAGTCTTCACCCTGGTCCACTTGGTTTTTGAAACTTGCCCACTAGTGTCACTCATCAGTTTATGCGCACTCTATGATCCATCCAGTTCATTCACCAATAGCCAGGGAGGACAAAAATGACCCACGTGCTGTTCTGTGTCTGTTGTTACAACGCTTGATCAAAACCATTCAGTTTGTCCTAGCTTAGTGTGACTGCATCAGTCCAATGTCAAGTCAGATTCCTTTTTGTTTTATTTGTGCAATAATAACAATGTGGAGCAACAAACAAGAACAAGGGAGACTTATTTTTGCCACGAGTCCATACTAAACATCATCTGATATGTAAATATTATTTATCCCAAAGTTGGTCATACTGCGTTAGGGTAGCATCTCAAACCTCAAAAAGAGACATTTCACAGGAGTAACACCAGTGTGTTCTCCATATGTATTTATCTCATGGCTTTATTTCTA